CAAGGCTTCCAAGCAGCTGCATATTTCGATGGGAAAACAAAATCAGATATGTAAAAAGATTATTGCCCTAATGTTTCCAGAGCTGCTGCAATGAAAAATTATATTTGAAAACTATAAAAATTATTTTATAGATTTGTTGTTCTTAGCTGCTGTCAAGTTGGCCACCGACTCATAACAACTTCATGCACAGTGGGGCAGGACTATTATGATCCACAGGGTTTTCAGTGGCTGATTTTTCAGAAGTAGAGAGCCAGGACTTTCTTCTTTGTCCATCTTAGTCTGGAAGTGCCACTGAAACCTGTTCAGCATCACAGCATACAAACACAAGCTTCCACTGACAAATAAGTGGTGGCGGTGCACAAAGTGTACTGGTTGGGAATCGAACCAGTGTCTCCCACACAGAAGCAAGAATTTTACCACTGAATCATCAAAATACTACGGTAACTTTTTTCTGCATACATACATACTTAACACAGCTCAACTTAGGATGTGACAGCTGATATTAAAAGATTAAATAAAAAAATAATTAAAATTACCACTAATTAAAATGGCAGTTAGTTTTATAAAACTTTATAATCAATTAATAACACAATTATAACTATACAATGAGCCTAATTTCACTTATTTTAAGAATTCTGACACCATTTCAAACATTAAAAATATATGTAAAAACTATTATTCTCATTTTGTGTATGCATGATCTATTTCATAATTAAAAGTTAACAGCAGACTTACTTTTCAACACAATCAAAACATTAAAGTTGGGAGAAATCAGAAAGTATTCAAAATGAAAGCTTGAGATAGCATACGCAGAATGGTAATTGGTGAATAATAAACTATAGTAGTTCAACAAGGTTATGCCATGAGAATTAAGCACTAGAATAACATCAGGTTTCAGATTTTTTACATTAGGACACATCAAAAATGAATTAACTTACTATACCTAAAACCTCCAGAAAATTGGGGTGTCTTACATTTAACAAATAAACAGAAAGAAAAACATCTGAGAAAAAAGGTTTCAGTCTTTTTTATTTTTCTTAGGAGTTCAAAGAAAAGAATTCTCTACCTAAAGTCCTGCTTTTCAACTTTTTATTTCAAGATGTACATCTTCTATCAATTTCAAATAAAATCATAAAATTAAAATTTTTTTATATTATTCACAATCCAATTCTATTTCTCCCAATATGTAAAGAGAAAGTAAAATACAAAATTGTCAGGATGACTAAAACTAAAGAAGGAAAGGGAATAAAAATTGTAAAGAGGGTTAGGACACAATAACATGGACTTGCCGAAAATTCAAAAGGCAGTTTTGAGTTCTTTGGGAAAGACATCTTCAAGTAAGCATTCAGAATGACATTTCCAGGAGTACTAGACAATACCCGTCAATTAATACACAAGTAAAAAAATCTTAGGTAGCTTTTAAATAAGTAGACTGCAATATATATGACTGATCAATACAGCAATTGCTTTCAGTTTTCTTGTCTCAGCCTTTACCTCCTATCACTGACTTTAAGTTAAGGTTTTTCATAATTTGTAAACCTAATTTTGAGCATCACCACCTAGCAAAATTACATGTAGACAT